CAGCCACAGCCACGTGGCTGCCCGGCTCTAAACGCTAACCAGTCCACAAACCGGTTCCCGTAACAAAGCCAGGCCTCGGTCTCGCAGACCTTTCCTAAGCACTAATTACACAAGACTCCCCATAACGATGGTGAAACCTCCTGGGTAACCAACCCGGCAGCCCAGCGCAGCAGTCGGCGCGTTAGTCACAGGGAAACCGACCTCAGACGTGCCTGAAACCACTGAGTCAGTGTCCTGCTCTGAAGTCACAGCCCCCTCCTGCCCCAGGCCTGTGTCACACCAGCGGACGAGCTCGCTGCCAACAAGCCCGAACCCCTGGGCGGCGAGCGCCGGTTCATGACGAAGGCACCGCAGCGAGCAGGGAAGGCCCCCCTCGTGCACAGACCATCTCCTCTTCCGCAGCTCAGCCCGAGCCTGGATCCTGACCTCGTCCAGCTGAAGGTCTGAAGGCTGCCTGGCACTCAGCAGAGCAGCAAACGTGGCTCAGCTCCAGCACCGCCTTGCCCAGTAACACCAACGGGGCCACTCCACCTCCCGTCCTGCGGCAGGAAAGCGGGGTGACAACAACCCAGGGCGGAGAGGCCGAGCGTAGGACCGCACCCCGAGCACTCCCAAACACAAAACGCTGCACGAGCGCCGAGAATGGGACTTGCTGTGGCGCAAACCTACGGCTACACATCAACCTAAAAGCACGCAACTCGCCCCAACAGATCGCTGGGACTATCCCATGCCCTTCAGCTCAGACACACACGTCGGTCTTTCTAGACCCAAACCTAATGCTGTGGCAACAAGAGCTTGTAGCCACCCACCAACGGCTTCCTTCCCACAGCGGGGTGGACGTAAACCACTCCGTGAGAAACCTTGGGCTTATCAGGGTAGCGGCTCAATCCCTTCCCAACTCGCAGACCCTTGTACTTGCCAAAAATATCCTTCCTACGGCCAAAGCAGAGGACTGGAGAGAGCTGGCCCCTGCGGAGAACACGCACCCTGACAGCTCAAACCCTCCCCTGCCAGAGTCCTCACCCGCAGGGACTCGGAGCCAGGTCCTCTCCCGGCACACATCACAAAACCGTCCCCGGCGCAGCTGACAAGGGCGCTGGCTATTTTATCTTGGTGGCAAACGTGAGGATCGTTATCTTCACACCACAGGAGAGTTTGGGTATCCATCACGGACCAGCACACCTCTGGGCCGGGGGTCAAG